TAATTCTGTCCCCACTGGATGCAACAAATGCCTCGTTTGTAATGGGTTTTCATGTTTTTGAATCATCGCTCCGGCCTGACTGGGCATCATCACAATATGGTGAGGGGCGTAACATTTCCGTCTCACGCTTGAGGCTAAAATGCTGGCAGTTCTGACTCACAGTCTGTAAGTACGTTTTCATTTAAAGGATTTGCCACTGATGATTCAAACGCGAGTTTTGAGCAGTGTAGAGTAGCGCTTGTTGTTTGTCATTTCTCCGATCACAAATGCAGACATGGTTTTATGTTTACGCGGCGCGATGCAACGCAGTGCGTAAAAAGACAGTATAAGTCATTATAATCCGTAATTATGTCCCCACTGGATGCAACAAATGCCTCGTTTGTAATGGGTTTTAATGTTTTTGTCTCGTCGCTCCGGCGGACACGGCATCAACAGTATGGTAGGGGGCGTAACATTTCCGTCACACGCTTGAGGAAGTCGGCCAATCACAACGCCCTGGATAGCTGGCCAATCAGAGCACACCTCGCTTTTTCAGACCGATGAGCTTTGTAAAAATCGACGCGTTTCAAAAAGGCGGGGCATAGAGGAGAAACAATAATGTACAGTATGTGGAAAATAATGTGTTTTTTTAACCTTAAACCACATAAACACATTGCATTACACCAAATACACAAAATAATGTTCTTTTTAGCAACATCATATGACCCCTTTAATTGGTAAGCGCTGCGCTGTCCATTCGGTGGCGCTAGCAAACATGTCCTCCCTGTACTGTCGAGTCGGTTGCGCAGCTCGATCCATTGAGCTGCAGCAGGTCAGCACGGCGCAAACTCTTTAAAGGGGTCATATGATTTTTCCTTTCTCTTTGAAGTGTTACAAGCTCTTGGTGCATAAAGAAGATCTGTAAAGTTGCAAAGACTAAAGTCTCAAATCCAAAGAGGTATTCTTTATAAAAGTTAAGAGTCAACCACGCCTACCTAAAACGGCTCGTTTTAACACGCCCCCACATACCTACGTCACTATCTGGGAAGATTTGCATAACACCGCCCAAATGTTCACACAAAGAAAGAAGGCATAACTTTTATTCACGCTGTAGTATTGTTGCCGCCGCTGTCATGTCGTGAAGTCACTGTGTGCTTCGTTGTGAAAGCGAAACTACTTTGTTTGGTCTTCCAAAAGAGAACGATATCTGCTTCGTCATGCCTGGAGCTGATCCGTGATGGTCACTGAGGAAATACATCAACTTAGTGCTGTGGATCACCGGATATGCTTTCACCGTTTTCACCGCTCCTTCGCCAGGACCGCCGTTCTCGACCCCGCCGCCTCAGCTCACTCTTGCCCGGCTTCAGCTCAGGCTAAGCCGGGGCTTTCGCTCACGCTAGGCCGCTGTGTTTTTCGTTGTGAAAGCGAAACTACTTTGTTTGGCCTTCCAAAAGAGGACACAACTAGAAATCAGTGGTTAAGTTGTATTTACAACACTGTTCCAGAACACTTCAACCCAAATATTCAGATGTGTGCAGCACATTTTATGGAGGACTGTTTACTGATCCTGGGAGAGTAACGTTAGACTAAAATGCCAGCAGTTCTGACTCACGTAAGTACGTTTTCATTTAAAGGATTTGCCACTTCATCATTGTGTCTGTCACGCGACTCTGTTCCCCTTTCGGGCTCTGTCTACATTTATTTTGAAAGATGAAGCTCGCGATTATGGAAAGGGGGCGTTACATTTCCGACGAGTGCTTGCGGTGTTCGGCCAATCACAATGCACTGGGTCAGCTGGCCAATCAGAGCCGACTGCGCTTGTCAAAGGAGGGGGCTTTGTTGAAAACGACGAGTTTGAGAGAGGCGGGGCATAGAGGACCTACAATAATGTACAGTATTTGAAAAATAATGTTTTTTGAACAATAAAGCATGTCATACTTATTCTGTTACACCAAATACACAAAATAATGAACTTTAAAATAGCATCATATGACCCCTTTAATACCGCGCTGTTTCCTCCCACTTTTGGTGTGTTTGGCTTTCCATACGTAAACCCGGAAGCGCAAGTCAATCATTTTAAACCAAACAAAAGCCCTCGGAAGTGTCGCGTGTGTTTTTTATTCGGGAAATAGAAACTGAAGATTAAGTTTGAAAATGTTACCAAACAAAGCGCTCACAGAAGAACGACATAAACCGCGCGAATGTAATCGGATTGATTAGCTTTGATGGATCGGTCCTTTATTTGTCTGTAAATGAGAATACTGTGCTTCGTCTGTATTGCACCGCTGCAAATGAGAATATCAGATTTAAACTATCTCTATTTTGTGGAGAATTAAGTAAATGTGTGTGTGTTATCTGCTAGCATTGTTCGTGTTTGCTTTCTCAGCAGTGCTGTGCGTTTGAAGTGTTTCTGCTAGAGCCCGATTGTTGCTCGTTATCTAACCGGACAGCAGCCTGTTCATCACAGAGAAAGCTGTTCGTCCAGAATGACCCTGGCAGTGTTTTTTGGCTGTGCTTTCATAGCGTTCGGTCCAGCTTTCGCCCTGTTTGTTTTCACCATCGCCAAAGACCCGTTAAGAGTCATCATTCTGATCGCAGGGTGAGTCACGTGATCGAATCTCACTAACATCCTCAAACGCACAACACATTAATCAAACACACAATGCATTCATACATGAATTATTCAGGCTCATAGAACATACCAAAGTACCATGGTATTACCCTGGAGGCTCCACTGTACTGTTACAGTGTAAGAGACAGTCATATAGTAAGGTGGACAGTGGAGAACATGTTAACTTTCAAGATATCTTTCTTTATATAGTCTTTAACAAATCAAGATGAACATTAAGACTTTTAAAAACAAGCATGATTTCCATGACATTTCTCTTTATGAGTGTTCATTCGTGAAGTGTCTCTGCCTTTTAAAGTTTTCAGCAGGCCCTTTAGATGAGCTGGAAGTGGAGAATGTCAGCAGATGGTGCTTGTGTTTGTTTGTTTCAGGGCGTTTTTCTGGCTGCTGTCTCTGCTGTTGTCCTCTCTGGTGTGGTTCATCGCTATAAAGGCCAGTAACTCGCAGGATCTCACCCTTCAGAGGGGGCTGCTGATTTTTGGGGTCTTCTTTTCGGTCTTGCTCCAGGAAGTGTTTCGCTTCACCTACTACAGACTGCTCAGGTGAGACTCTTTATGGCACCACACACATGGTAAGAAATCCTCCGTGCCAAACCTGATGATTGCAGCATTATAAAAGCACAAGCTATTTTCCATTAGAAACTTCTCTGAACTGTTTATATACACACATGAGGCAGTGCCTAAATAAATGGGCAGTAATTTGCATACTTTTCCAGAATCAAGTCCAAAAGTATTGTTATATTTTGTTGACACATTAGAGTTTAAAATACTGAGAAACAGACAGAAAACACAACAGTCAAAAAACAATACATTTTCACCATGTTTTTAGGCATGAAATGTTATATTACATTTTACATTTAGTCATTTAGCAGACGCTTTTATCCAAAGCGACTTACAAATGAGGACAATAAAAGCAGTAATATATAAGTGTAAATGACAAGTCTCGGTTAGCCTAACGCAGTACACGTAGCAAGGTGTATTTTTATATATATACACTGCACAGCATAAATGAGTATATATATATAAAGTTATATAAAACAGATGGATGATATGTGAACAAACACCTCTACCTTCAGAATATTGATGGGATTTCAGACTGCAAGAGAAAAAAAGCTCATTTTGACAAAACAGCCTTTAAAAGATATGTATTGTAGTTGGAATCTACAGATGTTGTGTTTTCTTTTCATTAGTCGTGCTATGGAAGCAAAATAGCCCAAAAAATGCATGAAAACATAATTTTACCTGTACAGAAGAGATGCCATGATTTTGGAATTCGTTCTGATATAATAAAGCAATAAGCCCCGTGAAGCCGTGGTTTACAGTGAATTTATAACGGCTAAGGGGCGTTGTTAAGCACTGTTAGTGCCTAAAACCCCCTTAGCTGTTATAAATTCACTGTAAAGCACGACTTCATGGGGCTTATTGCTTTTATAAAACGGTTATTCCATATACGTCGTAAGGTTTCACAAAATAAAACAGAGCAAATAAAGTGTAATGATATTAATAAAAACAGTATTCTTCCACCAAACAATGTAGCTCCTCAGAAACAG